GGTGAATTGTGAAACTACTGCACGTGCTTGGAATGCGAAATATGGGCTAAGCAAGAGTCTCCAACAGCTGAAAACAAGGAGCAGACCGAACAGCGCCACAACGAACACGCCGCAAGCGATATTGATCGCGCTGACGGCTGCTTTTCTGTGAGCGCTCCCTCCAAACGAGACAATCCAACAAGACCAGCCATTGATACGATGCAAAGAGTCTATTCAATGGGGTTCTCGCTGCGGAATTTTGAGCGGAGGGAGGGTGATCCGTCCCCACTGAGGAGTTCCAAGGGGAGGGAGAGACCGTAGGTCACAACCGAAGTCGTAGGCACTAGCTAGGAGACAGAGGCACTGACCCATGTACCACGAATCGTCCGTGGGAGACGAGGATACGTGCGTGGAATGCTCGGCAGACACGGGCACCTGGACTGGGCAAAATAATCCAGTTTTCCTCGTTCCCTGAGTTGTCGTCTGAACAGGTGAAGCCTCACTTTGGCAGATACCATCTGGCCCAACGAGATTTCTGGATAGACGGCTCAAACATGTTAAAAATGTTCGGATGTCCCGCAGTGCATTACTCCTGAGAACCTAGAGTGAAGACGTCCGATGAGAAAATGAGATGAGGCTGGCACATGTCCTTCTCTTATATTGACAAAGGATATGAATACGCCTCCACACCGTAGATTAGATTTTTTTCGTTTTTAACAATGATAATAATAATAATAATGCAGATGTTGTCTAAATTATCAACTGTCTGTCTTAGGACTAGATTTGCATACATTTTCGAATGTGGATTGCGACTTCTATGTGGCCGAAGCAAACGATTGCCGTAAAGCTGGTGGTGGGGTCTGCAACACCAACGAGCTCTTTCTAATCAGACGCCAAAGGTTTACGGTGCTGGCAGTGTGCCAGCATACGGCGGCGTTTTTGAATCTGGTTGGGTTTTTGTAGCTCGATGCGGTATTTTGTTTATGTTTTCGCTGAATTTACCTTTTCGAAATTTGGTTTCTAGGTTGTTCATTAGTACAAGTGGTTGCGTACGTATAGTTACTTTCTCTCTGCATAATGGGCTTTTAACGAGAACCAAACTCATTTCATATTTGTTTGTATTTATTGTTTATTTATTTATACGTAAACGGCAATATGATCGGGCTAGACAACCGCCTCCTTGTTGGAACATTTCACACTTTATTTGAGTTTCATTACCATTCTTCTTCTTGGGTTCCTGTTATTGCATAATTTGGCGTGAATGTCTACTAGTCAACTTCCAATAATCTATTCATGAGCTCCTTCCCTATTTAGTCCTATTTCGTCAACGCTGCCACTGAAAGAATCCCATTTTTGACGAAATAACACGACTCGTCTGGGGTCAGGGGCGAAACAAACCGTTGCTGTTTTGTAGTCTTTCTACTCATGTCTTTTTCTTTTTCTAGTTACTCTATTCCTTGTCTTAGGAGCGTGATGAACATACAAAAGTGTCTTTCCACGAAATATCACACGATTCAGACCATGTTTTACGCGCAGTTCGTACTATCAAAGAAAGGACCACTGGCAAAGATTTGGTTGGCAGCACATTGGGAGAAGAAGCTGTCAAAAGCTCAGATTTACGAGACTAATGTACAAGATGCTGTTGATGAAATATTGCAACCGAAGGTAGTATTTGAAACGCTCTGAGTGTTTCTACGTTTTTTTAACAGTTCCTTCTTTGCAGGTTAAAATGGCTTTGCGAACTACCGGACATCTTCTGCTTGGTATTGTGCGAATATACTCCAGGAAGGCAAAGTATTTGCTCGCTGATTGCAATGAAGCCTTTCTCAAAATTAAAATGGCGTTCCGTCCTGGACAAGTCGAGATGATGGAGGATGGCAAGGAAGCTCCTTTTGCTGCTATCTCACTACCTGAAGTAAGTTGTTGAGGTCATTATTGTTCTGATAAGTAGTGCAAAATTTCGTTAAGGTCTACACAGATTTCGATTCCACTTTACCGGAATTCAATGAAGCCGAGTTCGCCAACCATTTGCAGGTGGTGTAGTTCATTTGTGTCAGTTATTCACAGATTGAATGTATAAATTAATTTAAGATCAATCAAAGCAGGATAGATGATATTACTCTGAAAGAGGACCACATTTCCGATCAACACATGTTTGGCGCCGAATTTGCCGTAAGTTGTGAATAAATTTTTTTAAGCCTGATCACAGGCTCAGTATTAAGAAAATAGTGTTAGTTTTTATGTATGCATGGGGTGCGCGCTAGATCGTTAGGATCATAACAAGTAAAGAGTTGTTCAGCACATATATACAAAGTTTCATTATAACTCACTAGCAGCAGAAGATTTTCAGCTAATGTCACATTCTAGTACCGTTCAAAAAAACTTGAAGTATGCCAAGCAATCGCCTTTACAAGAGTCTCGCTGAAGTTAGGCTCAAAATAAAAAGATAAATATAAAACTAAATCAGAAAAAAAAACAGAATAAATAAAACAGACGAAATATAAAATTATATTTGCCGTATACAAATAGGGAAGCTCCGATATTCAACGTAAAAAAAGAAAAAAAACACAAAAAAAAGATAGGACCTAGTTGAGTAAGAATTCTATGAAGCACGATTATGACATAGACTTGAATAGTCAAAATATCGTCCAGAAAGTAAAAGTAATGAGCCGGATTTAGGCGCATCCGATGTAAATCAATACTTTGCGACATAGTCGTCGTCAAAACCCTTGCAACGCAGCTTCGTCTGTGGCTAGGCAAGAAAAAAGACGATTGATGAAATCTCGTGGCCACTTTGCTGCGTAATGTGTGTTTTGATGGTTACCAATTATTTGCGAAGTTGCCGAAAACGCCGAGTGGGCACGTTGATGATGATAATCACGTGCATCAATTGTGCTATGAACTCACGATTCCCCGCAATTAGCATGCAAATTTTGCACAGCTGTGATTACTTCTCTGTTTTGTTCACAGTAGGGCTTTGTTGGATATTCCTGATTTTGAAGTTTCTTATATCATGATGCATCACAGAGCGACGAATTTGGAGATACTGCTTTTGGACCGGTGACTTTCGGTATGGAAGACGATTTTGGTGAATTTCCACCGTTGGCTCCAGTTTCGGATGCCAGGTACACTACAAAAATTGTGCCGACCTTTTTATGGTATGGATACTAGCACTGTTTCAGTGGAGTTGAAGTGCAGCGAGATGCAAGCAGCTTTATGGCTGGAGACCGACTAGCTCTGTGAGTTTTTGCTTTTTCGATTTCGGATGCGTCTCCTCGCTTTTTTTAAATACTTAAACCTTAGTCGGGACATCCGTGGTGCTACTCCAAGCCTGGAAGGAGCGAAAGCTCCAGGTGTCAACATTTTCGTTGATGACGATTTCGGAGGTATGGATATGGGTGGCGGTGATGACGACATGGAAGGTAGGCCACTGTTTTAGAAGAATTTTTTGAGGCGGTTGGATCGTGCTTTGCTGTTGCTTTTGTTTTTATTCAGTTGTTTCGAGTGCATATGTCCAGTCCTCCTGCATAGCTGCTCACACGGCATTAACATGAGCATGAGTCTTTGCTTTACCTTTACCATACAGTGTACTACCCGTATATGGATCATCTAAATCACTCCTTCCAATTTATAAAGCATTCGCCGCTGATCAATCCAATTTTGGTATGTGGCACGGCCTTCCACTCAAAATAGCAGTGGCTTCTTGAATGCGACATGGTTTATACAACGCTTTGCGGGACCAGCCGATGTACAAATCGGTATTCCTATCCT